GGAGGTGGTCCACCCTCTGCCTGCACACGCCCATCCCCTCGACCCTTGAATGTCCCCGTGCACGACTGAGGGCCAGATCCCACTGGCCAAGAGGATTGGAGTAAGTGGCTGAATCTGGACGTGTTCCACACAGAGATGCAGAAAAGGAGTTCAATCACAACTGTTTGCACCTCTCCACAAACATGTCCAGATTCAAAGGCTTATCCCAATCCTCTTTGCCAGTGGAATCTGGCCCTGACAGTCGCGGCAACTGTATAATCATTAACCATGTCCGCCACGTTCACAACCTGCACTTCCAAATACGCATTTTCGAGGGGCAGGCTCGCTCCCACCCGCCCCAAGTCGAGGGAATCCTTGACTCCTCTTCATGCACTCAATTTTTTTTATTTTATTTTTTCCCCAATTCAAAATGGGTTTGATTCCCTAGTCGACCTCAGAGCGGCTAGGGACTAGAACCGACGAGCCTCTTTTCCTACAGAATACACGGATTTCGTGGACAATGGGAACACTGGATGTTATGACTGATGGCGTTTCTTTTTTCGTAAGAAACCTGCACCCTGCGATCAATACAGATCATCGGTTTCAGATGATGTCGCACAAACAAAGGCGATAGAATACCTGACCGAGTGAATCGGCAGTGGGACTTGGCCCCGAGGACCTCAACATTACTCCAGGATGCAAATTGCTGGAAGCATCATCCAGCTTAGCTTACAGGCTATGCCTGCGGGTTTCTTCCAACCCAACAGCTCTGAGGCTGCAAATACTAAGTTTACTGCTACTGTTCCTAAAGCTACCACTAGAACCTACTAGAGAACTACTTCTACGTCTACCTCTACATGTATGTCTACTTCTGCTCCTACACTAACTGTCTAAAATAAATATAGTACAGACGCCTCATAACTGTACTGACCTAGTTCCGACCAGTGGACCTGTACTTCCAAGAGGCTACCAGGTTTCTATTTCTACTTACATGCCTAAAAGGAAAGGCCCTAAGTTACAGCAATGGAAGCCTTAGAATTAGTGTAAAGGGATAATCAAGATGTGGCCATTCTTCTTCTCGACTTGGAAAAAGCCTATGATCGGGTGAACTGGGCTTACGTGCTCACAACGCTTAAACACCTGGGTTTTGGACCTAACTTTAGAAGTTGGGTTGCCGCTATGTACGGGCCTTCCAAAGCTCCAGTTATGATTAACGATCAAATTTATGAGCCTTTCTCTCTTTCTAGATCACTCCGTCAAGGTTGTCCACTTGCCCCTCTTCTCTTTGTCCTACAACTAGAGGTGCTTCTCAACAATGTGAGAAGTCAGCCAGACACTCAAGGCCTGAAGGTGCAAAACACGAAATGCAAAGTTAAGGCGCTAGCGAATGAACTGTTTGTGATCTCAGAGAACTCCCAGAGTTCTCTGGAAGGTCTCAAGAACTGCTTGGTAGAGTACTCTCACCAATCGGAGACAACAGTAAACTGGAACAAATCAATTTTCTTTCTGTCTGCTCAGTACGCTCCTGCGATGGAATTCGGTATGAAGAGAATCTCAGATGGGTCATCGGAGAGGTATTTGGGGGTACAGGTCACCCTGGGTAACTATAAGGAAACTCAGAATGACATACTCCAACAGAAAATTATCCAGCGAATTTCAAGATGGGGACTTGCCCCGCACTTATCACTATTCGGAAGAGCCATGGTCTTAAATGTCGCCTTATTTTCACTACTATGGTTTGTAGGAAGAGCCAAACTGCTCAGCAAGCAACTCCTCAAATCAGTGAGGAACGCTGCAACAAGATTTTTATGGAAACCGTTCGGAAAGTTGGATGGGGGTTTCATTTCGAAAGTCGCATGGGACACAATTTGCCATAGCAGAGAAGAAGGTGGCCTGGAAATGTTGGATCCAGACAAATAGAACTTAGCCCTGTTGGCCCAGTGGATCATCAAGGTAATCTCATCAAACCACAATGATCACTGGGTCCTCATGGCGGAAGTTATTATGGTCGAGGAATGGGACTTACCTAGAATGGAGGATGTTTGGACTTGCTGCATGCTGGATTCTTACCTACGCCGACATATCCAGTCCCCATTTTGGCATGGTGTACTGTGTGCCTGGAGACAGGTAAAACCAAAACGATCATCCGAACCAACTTCTAAAGAGGAGGTTTTGAACCAACCTATCTTCGACAATCCCGTCATCAAGGAACTTAGTGACATCCC